TCCGTAGGTGCTGACGCAGCTAATCTATGACGACCAGTTGATGCGTCGCGTCGTGCGGACAGATGTCGCTGGCTACCGGTGATGTGTAGCAATAGAAGGCGCTCATGATATTCCGCTCTGTAGAAGACGGTAGATTCTCGGTAGATTGGCGCTCGGTATATTGACTGGTATTTTTTGCCAGGCGCTGTCACTCTTAGTGTGGAAATGGCACGGGAGTCGCATTCATGCGCCTTTCTTTTCAAGCTGTGAAAGACATTAAGTCATGGTAAGGTTAAATTCATGATATTTATTTAGTTTTTCAGCGACTAAGATAGGCCAGATACTTGCATCGCTTGGTGGCTTTATGTGACTAGCTTTAGATCTGAGTTTTTCACTGGTTATGATTGAATGGTTCTAGCAATGACAAACTTGTGCACCGGGGTTGCCAGGCCACCCGGACTCTACTCCAGAAGCCACTTAAGCTGTTTCACATCTTTCTCCTGCGTGGGGTACCTACACCATGTCCCCATGTATCCCAGTATTTGGCTTTATTTGGTTGTATTTGGATTAGAGGCTGTTTAGCCAATATACACCATTTCAGGGCAATGGGATAAGGAAGAGTGCATAATGGTGGGGAATACCGCATGCACCTGGAGGTCCTCTACCGAGGCTCAGCATGTACCTGGGAGTCCTCTATCGAGGCTCAGCATGCACCTGGGAGTCTTCTACCGAGGCTCAGCATGTACGTGGGGAATCCTCTACCGAGGCTCAGCATGTACCTGGGAGTCCTCTACTGAGGCTCAGCATGCACCTGGGAGCCTTCTACCGAGGCTCAGCATGTATCTGGGAGTCCTCTACCGAGCCTCAGCCGGCACAGGGACCACGTCACGGGATAGGTGCCCGGGCGTTGGGGCTGGGCCCCCAACCAGGGAGCACTTAGTCCACTGGTGGCTGACGCCTGTAGTAAGACCCGGATAAACGGGATGTCGGAAAGTCTTAGGATGAAGCGAGAATGAGGAAAGAAGAGCAAATGCATCCCGGCGTCCTCTTTATGTAGTGTCAGGTCACCCAGCGCTCCGCCCTTCTGCTGCTCCAGAAGAGTGGTCCTCCTTTTCCTAAATATCTCCTCTGAAGATATTTAGTTGCCTAAATATCTCCTCTAGAGATGCAGCCGGATACTTTTGTTTCCCGTGCTTAAATGCGGCGATAGCTTTCGCCTGATCTTTTGGCCCAGTCTGCATGGTTGACTTTTAGCTTATTTTTGTATTGTTTCCACAGACGGCTTTGATGATCACTGAAAGTTTTAACTCAGCACTGGCTGTATGCCACTAAGCCAGAGCTGGGTGTGCCAGGTTTCCAGGAATCTGCGAGGTCCCTGTAAACCTGTCTCATTTAAGAACTTCCGCCTGAAGGTGTCTATCTGCGGCAAAGCTGCCTCCCGATGCAGTACTCCTATTGGATAATAGCTATGTTGGTGGGCGGCTCGGATGACAATAACTCTCCCTGCGCCAACGCCATCTGTCAGCTGACTAGCTATGTTGGTGGGCGGCTCGGATGACAATAGCTCTCCCTGCACCAACGCCATCTGTCAGCTGACTAGCTATGTTGGTGGGCGGCTCGGATGACAATAGCTCTCCCTGCACCAACGCCATCTGTCAGCTGACTAGCTATGTTGGTGGGCGGCTCGGATGACAATAGCTCTCCCTGCACCAACGCCATCTGTCAGCTGACTAGCTATGTTGGTGGGCGCCTCGGATGACAATAATTATCCCTGCACCAACGCCATCTGTCAGCTGACTAGCTATGTTGGTGGGCGGCTCGGATGACAATAACTCTCCCTGCACCAACGTCATCTGTCAGCTGACTAGCTATGTTGGTGGGCGGCTCGCATGACAATAACTCTCCCTGCACCAACGCGATCTGTCAGCTGACTAGCTATGTTGGTGGGCGGCTCGGATGACAATAACTCTCCCTGCACCAACGCCATCTGTCAGCTGACTAGCTATGTTGGTGGGCGGCTCGGATGACAATAACTCTCCCTGCACCAACGCCATCTGTCAGCTGACTAGCTATGTTGGTGGGCGGCTCGGATGGCAATAACTCTCCCTGCACCAACGCCATCTGTCAGCTGACTGCAAACGCGGTGTTTGGTCCTTGGCTTACACCCTTTGAATGTCACCAATGCCGGAAAGTCGATGATTGGATTGTTAGCAAACCCAAACTCAAATATAATACTTAGCATATCCACCGAACAAGCAATATAAGGGCAGGAGCCTTCCTTAGTCACAATTGCTCCATACATGTCGAATTTCAGTTTTCGTCTGGATTCACTGTTTTTTGTACCGCAAAACTATAAGGGCTTGTGGTGCCCCCCTTGCCTTTTATATGCTAAGAATGATAGAGCTGGACAGTGATAGAACAGCGAATTATCCTTAGCAAGACCTCGTGATCGATCTCAAGCGAAGTATTGCTAGTTTTATAACTGAATCCAACTTGTCCCACAAATCGCCTTATTTTAGTTTATGTCCCAATAGCTACAAAATTATGCGACGTAACTGCATAAAATGCATACATACGTGTTTCATGCTTAATTTTAAAGATTGTCGTGTGTGCTTTTGTGTTCGGAGCAAATTTCGATGATGTAGGATTTTGGCGCTGTAACAGTATCGCCCACTGTAACAGCATCGCTCACTGTAACAGTGCCGCCCACGCCGCCAGTCACCGGCCGCTTGCTGGTGGCGGCTGGCGGCCTGCACCCGTACCGGCATTAGACTGCCGTGCAGTGCCCCTAACAACGCCTTCACACAGAAAGCAGGAGTAGTAGATACGCGCGTTTGGTAGAAAACCGTGAACTCTTCAGAGGTTGCTGAAAATTTGGACACGATTACATGAAATGCAAAGTAGACCTTGGGATAAAATGGTATGGGAGATTGCATTGCTCCGCCTACTCTATCAGGGCGAGTGGTAAAAGCGCAATTTTGAGAAGTTAACTGACCTGGAATCAAAAAACGAAATCGAGATATTCGCCTTAAAATTGAATTTGACGTCGGAAAGCATCCATCCCGACCACGTTAAAGCTCTTGATTGTGTTTGTCGCTGCTGCGGCTGTGGTTTGTCGCTGCTGCCGCTGTGGTGTGTCGCTGCTGCCGCTGCAATTTGTCGCTGCTGCTGCTGTGGTTTGTTGTTCAGCTTACCATACCTGCACCAAATGGAAGCGCTGCCTCTGGCGCTGTCAGATTCACGGAATGATGTGCACAAAGGGCAAAAGACAAGGTAAGGTCTGATCAAGGTTATGTCAGGTCATGGTCATGTCGTCTAGTTGGGAAGATCGTTGACTCATTGCCTGTGCTCAAGCCTTGATTTGAGAATTTCTGCAGCCAGAGCCAGCCTCTATCTGTGGTTGTTGCGTGAGCCCTGATCCCCCCCCCCCCCCCATGCGATCATGAAACACCAGGTCAATAGCACAACTTTGTGGCGCAAGTTTAAATTGCCGTAATGCTGGGCACGACCTGTCCTCACCCAGCCGGCACGTGACCCACGGTGTGGCGGGTATCGCTGCCATGTGTGAGCCGCTTGTCAATGTGGACTTTCCATCAACAAACTTGCTCTTGATGGAAAGTTTGACTGTTGTAGAAGGCATCGGGTTGCTGTTGTGTTTGTACTCAGCATCGCTTATGAAGCTGGAAGTTGTCCGCATTATGTTTAATTTAACAGTAAACTTAAGCAAAAACAGATCCATGAATAGATATATTGCAATGTCCGCCCGAGCCTGGGGCGGTTCGCCAAGCATCGACCATGGAAATGAAAGGGAGAGAGCGGTGCTTGGCAAGGATAGCAACATACCATCCAGTGTGCACTTGTCGGGCGGTTGCAGACTGCATAGTTCAGGAGCGCGCGTACCTCGGAGCACATGTACCTCGGAGCACATGTGCCTCGTAGCACGCGTACCTCGGAGCACATGTGCCTCGGAGCACGCGTACCTCGGAGCACATGTACCTCGGAGCACGCGTGCCTCGCCGTCGACGGAGGCTGAGGCCACGCAGTTTGGCTCTGTGGGATAGCGGCCGCCTGACGCGGGAGACAGCATCAGCGGTTGTGCGAAGCCGTGCGGCGCAGCCTACCAGGCGCAGCTCCCCGAGCTGCACCTCGCTCCCCGACCTGAGCTCCCCGAGCTGCACCTCGCTCCCCGATCTGAGCTCCCCGAGTGCGTCATGTCGGTTGGGGGACTTCATGGCTTCACGGTTTATTCATGGGCAAGACTTCAGCGAGCTACCGGGCAGGTTACCGTTCTCGCTTCTCTAGGTCACAATTGACTTTTTTACACTATCTTTTTCCAGGAAGAAAAAGAGGAAATTGGATATGACATATCTGAAACCTTTCCATAAATTACCATTTATTGTTAAAATAATACAAATGGGTGCTTAGCAGGTGGATATAACCGATTAGAATACTCGCAGTTGGTGTGTAAGGCACATCCCCAAGTATAGTGGGCAGATTGGGTGAAAAAAATATTTCCCTGCTAGGCTTCTGGAATCGCTCCTTTTTAGTTGGTCTAATCACGAACCTTACCTTCAGGACGGTCTACGTTCAAAACACATTTCAAAACCAGCGTTCGAAATTCATTGTCTCGAGCCCGTGCGTGTGATCCCAGCGATTTCATTGTCTATGCTAATGCCCAGGGGCCGTGGCGTAGCCGGCATTAGAACCGCGGTACCCCATATGGCAGGCGAAGACTCCGACCATCCGGCCATTATGCCACCGTATGTCGGTTTCCTCTGACGTGCTACGAAAAACGTATTAGTGTTTTCCAGCTTGCTGTCGAAATATCTTGGGTTCCGAGGAAAAGTTATGACAAGACCCGTTTCTCTAAGTTCAGTTGTTATTATTTAACAGTATTGGTTTTTAGCTGTTCTCTCTCGTGCTCAAGCAGCAACAATAACCATGTAGGAATCCTAAATTTGATGTCTGCCAGCCGCCCAGCGACTGCACTGCAAGATACACTGTGAAGCGTAAAGGCGAAATGCGCGTGGACCATTTATTGTTTCAGACCTGGTGACCACTATCGCCAAAGATTTGGGGACCAGTTTAGGCACTGGCTGGCGCTAAACCATCGATCCAGCTCCTCATGCGTGCCCACAAATGAGCCGGGGGTGACCTCATGAAGCCTGCGACACAGCCCACATGTCAGCGGCCGCATCGGGTGCGCGCTGACAATGTCGTAGCTCTCCTTCCAGAGGAAGAAGTCCTCGTATGCTGTGTTGTTGCTCTCCAGGTAGAGCAGCAGTTGGGCGAGCTGCCGCGGACGGTACCGCATCGCGTCGATGAAGCTGCCATCTGGCGCCAGTTTCGAGTACTGCGCACCGCCCATCACCACGGGCACCACCCCTGTGGGCAACGCCGTAAGACGATGTTAGTGAAGTTCGTCTCTGGTGAGATCGTGGTGACCTGGGCTGTTGATTTCACGGTGGCATGTACGGATTGCAGGTATTGTAAAACCTGAACCCTCATCGCACGGGAGCTTTTTACCGTCGCTCTAAGAGGGGGCCTCAGAGGATCTATCTGGGGCCTCGAGAAGCGGAATAGAAGAAGGCCTGGAGCATAGTAGAAAACGGCATTGACAAGCCCTTGTCACACGCATCAGGTAGGTGTATCAGAACAATGATGAATGAAACCGTAAAGGTTAAACCAGGCCAGTGATCAAATTAGCACCAGACTAAGCATGATGCGGTGATGAAGAAGATTAGTGTTTGGAAAGCTGTACGAGATCGTCACTTGCGGACATCGACACCTGTCGCCTGTGATATGTCATGTCAGGTCAAAGGGGTGAACGTGATTGCTGCATTGGCCCGTTCGGCTGCATCGAAAACCTCGTCACCATACGCTTGTTGGGAGCACTCGGTTTGAAGAACCTTCTTAAGTCGTAATATATGCGCGATTAGTGTTTAAACATATGACCTTCAAACGGTCAGATCTGTTCGCAGTGGCCATAGTTTGACCTAACCTGGCCTTGAATGGCGTGACCTTTAAAAGTCGCCTGAACGATAGAAATGCACTTCAGAGTGATATCAATAGGAAGATGAGTCCTGGAAACATCTTTGTAGTACATTTCTTGCGAGACATAAGCCTTTTTTGTCTGTTCTGAATAATCATTACTCAGACTACCTCGAGAAAGAGCTCGTAGGTCATAATCTAGGCAACAACATCGTAGGCAACAAAGGCAGAAACTTCAAATTTTTACATGTGTAAACATGATGTAAACTCAGTCGTTCAGCATTTCACCACCGTTCGTAAAACCATTTCGATACTACCTTTGAAAACCCTTAGCCGTAGAAAGACGAAGGTATGCCTTAGTGTGATTGTCAGGCTTCACTATAATATAAATGTCGGTTAATATAAAGGGCGGTCGTTTCACCAGTTTCACCTCAACGTGTCTTCTACTGTAAACTCATACGAAGTAAAAGTTGGCGATGAAATTGGTGTTTACTGGGGTGAATATCAGGCGCTCCATTATCTTACTATGCTGATTTGTGTTTCATAATTATTAGCATAACTTCCACAAGAATGTCATAATTTCGAAACAATCCCAAGCTGTCTTGATCGTCAGCATAACAGCCTGTGTAACGTTGTAATATCAGAGATGGTGCGACAAATCAGGGACGGATTAACGGTCTATGAAAACTTGATTTAGCAAAGAAGGGCCTTCAGATCAAAATATCGGCTATGTAATGCCCGCAGTGATACAAAGTTTGACACGGTCATGACTCATTGTTTGGAAGTTACTGTAGTTCGGAAAAGCCTCCGGGGATGGGTCAGGTTGACGTCCCCACCCGACTGCGTGTTAATGCTTCTGTGTGCATTGGTGTCTGTAATGTATTCGAGTCTTGAAGGCATCGCTCCTGCACCACGAAGGACTCCGAGAGCAACATGTCGCAGGTTCATGCAGGTCCATTTTGGCACTTGTCGACTTAATCTCTGTGTGTATGGACAGTCTCCGTGTGAGAGAGGCTATGCGTCAGCTTTGGAAGATTCCAGGGCTGACCGTCAATTCAGGAGTCCCAAATTGTAGAGGGGTATGACACATGACGAACGTTCCATACGTCATTGGTTGCAGCTGTCGAACCAAGAGGGCTCACTATCAACTGACATGTATGGCATGACACTACATGCCACATTACACTGTCCCGGCAGCTGTACGCTGGCGACAACGGCAACAGCAACAACGGCAACGGCACAGGGGAATCAGAGGTGAAGAAAAATGGGTGCAAAGGTTGTGCACGCTCACTGCCCGAGCACCTTGGCACGAAACATAGGCACGAAAAAATATGTTGGCGCGCCATTGTTCGATGGCCCCATCGGCAGTGAGGCCACCCAATGAATTTCTGTCGGCTAGCTCACTGTTTTCGGCAACCGGATGGCCCCGAGCCCGAATCTTTGCACGGGCCTGCAGGTCACGTCGTCGACCATACACGGCCACCGACAGCACAAGCACACACTCTGTAGTGGGGTCATCCTGCCGTCAGTCCTTTGGTCAGTGGTACCCAAGTTTGACCTGCACCCTTCAAAATGGGAGTTTTGTAAAGGTTCAGGTGGCGCGTGCTACCGATCGATTGGAAACCGGCACCGCAGTCTTCTCGCCGATTCGGTGCATTAGATTATCCGACTTGTCACGTGATCTGTCCGCACGTTCTGGCGCAGCGCGCTCAGGATCTTGGACGCACACACACACACGCGCACGCACGCACACGCACACGCACATACACGAGCGAACACGCACGCACACGCACACACACGCGCGCACGCACGCACGCACACACACACACGTACGCGCGCACGCACGCATGCACGCACGCACGCACGCACGCACGCACGCACACACACATGCGTGCGCCTGGGTATGCCTTTGTCTGCGTTTGTTGGGGTTTCTTCACCTAGACTAACAAGCACGCTTCTAAGTGTGCTTCGAGCACCCTACCTACGCTTATAGACGGCTTAGAAGCAGCCCTTTGCTAGGTCTTCAGGGCACACGTAGCTGGGCCCGGAGTACACGCAACTGGGCCTAGGACACACTTAGCTTGGCCTGGGGCACACGTGGCTGGGCCTGGGACTCACGTACTGGGCCTAGGGCACATGCTTCTGGGCCTGGGGCACAGGTGAAAGGGCCTGGGGCTCCTATCTTCCTGTAGATTTAATCCATATTTTTTACAACGGCTGGGAGCGTCCCTCTTAAGTGTCTGCTAGCGCGGCTCTATCTCAATTTAGAGACGCCTCTCTTTTACGGTTTGGGGAGCGTCTGTTCTTGTACAATTTCGGTCTACCTTTAGGCTGGTGGTATTTCAGCATATCTATCCCAACTTGGGGCGCCGCTCTGATTGACAACTGGTGCGTTCCTCTACCGAAAATAGGGGTATCGCTCTTGTTGAAATCTGAGGCGCCCCCGCCCCCGCCCCCCCCCCCCCCTACCAAAGATTGTGGTCTCTTTGTCTAAGCTTGAGAGACAGCCATGCCCAGAACTGGGAGACACTACGCTGTTTGGGCCTGGGACGTCTTCTATGAGGGCTTAAGGCGTCTTTCCGTTTTGGTTGTTTGTCTGTCTGCAAGATGTGCGCCTTCTTGATCGAACAAAAAGGCGCCAGAATTTCAAGCCTCTGAAGGATGGTACCAGACCTCAAATTATTTCAGGTCATTTTCCAAGATTCACAATATGTTTGCAGCTGTTCCGAAAATAGGGGAAGATGCTGGACCGATTAGTGTATTTTGGATCCCAGTTTTCGATATAGCCGTCCATGACCCAATGAACGGTTCAAACAGATCCACATAGAAAAGATATGTCATGACAGGTTAGCCATGCATCTGCCATCTCACCAAGCGTCAGCGTCCTGAAGAACTTCTCAGTGACGTAGTCCGGACAGAGGGCGTTCTCGAAGGCGAGGTAGAACCGGTAGGAAGCCATGGTGACCTCACAGACGGAGTTGGAGTCGTCCTCCTGCCGCTTCACTGACTCCCTCTGGCCACACGTGAGTGGTCCGCACGCGCCGTACACGTCCACCTGCCGGGATGCGGTCATCTCAGGCTCAATGTCCAGCCAAAATTGAGGTGGCGGGTTCGAATCGCGGTGCAGGCGGAGTATTCTGACCTTTTCTCCGAGGCGATACATTTTCTTTTTCGGTGGTGCGGTGGTGAAGAGAACAGACTGGGCGCATGATGACATGGAGTCGACGCATGAATATATGTGACGTCAGAACGCCGTGCAAGTCCACTTTTCAAGGCAATGAAAGCAAACTACACCGATGTCATAAAACTTCATCATCATGGCCGAGCTTACGCACTCGCCACTCCCAGTCACATCACGGCATTCGCCACTCCCAGTCACATCACGGCATTCGCCACTCCCAGTCACATCACGGCATTCGTGGATGTGACGGCAGCTGCACTTGTTGCGTCCAACTGACCGGGATGTACATCTGCAGCTCTCGGACGTAGTCGGACCTGCGACTCGGTGCGTCACAGTTGCTGGCCATCCAGGCCACCAGCTTCGTCTTGGGCCGGCTCAGGCTCCGCTGCAGTTGAGGTCTGAGCGGAAGCGACCGCCGTACCGCCTCTGGCAGCACGTGTTGTCGAGCGGCCTCTGACAGCGAGTTCCTCGGCAGGACGAGCCCGTACGGCACCGGGATGTCACTGTCCCAGCGGTAGGACATGGTCCAGTTGAAGACGCCATTCAGCACAGTGGTGTTGATGATTCTAGTCTGGGGGTAGGCGGGGGACTCCAGGCAGAAGAGGATCCAGATCTGGCCAGCTGGTCGACGGGACGGAAGGTTGTTTTGGGACCAGTAGAGGTCTATCAAATGGAAGACGACCGCATCCGCCTGGTCGAGTTCATCAGCATCGAAGGTGAGGTCACAGTTGGACACGGGACACTCACCTGCGGTCATGGCGTTAAAGAAATGCGGCCAGTCCCTATACGACGTCCAAAAGGGTGTCCAGAAAAGGATTTTCTTTGACTTCGCTGTTTTAAATGCGCTGAGATAATCTGGGATGCGCGTGTTATCGACAGGGCCCACCGTTTTCCCGAAGTATGGCGCCCTTGGCGGCCATCGAATCACATTTCCTTGGAAAATGTAAACAAATGAAGTCAGTACACAAATTAGGGACGCGACACATAGTGCAATGTTTCCATACAACCTACTCAAAGCAAGTAAGACGTGCCGCTGCTGCAGCGCCATATCAATATAAAAACGTGTCTGTGTTTTAGCGTCTAACGTGCATCACGTATAGCGTCCAATTTAAGTCCTTGCTTGGCAGTTAAGAGGGAATGTTGTATGCCAGATATTGCTCACCGGCTCTCAGCCACTAGCGATGTCAGATTAATGCTCTGCTCATGAAGTGGGGATATGGTAGGAGTCGGGGTGGGAAGGACAGCGCGGTGTTCGTCAGCTGAAGACCACGGTCGCCGCACGACTCCTGAAACAAACTGGTAACCGGTTAGGCAATGCTCTTGTCGTACATGGAAGTTTGTACGGCAAGATTTGACAAGTGTTCTAGAAATAATGCTATCAAAACCCGTGGCTTCTTCGTGTGGGGGAGAAAAAAGAGCCTTTGGTTAATGAACCCACAACATTGGTCTACAAGCATGTTCATAACTAGTTCTTGGGATAGGAAAGCCTGAAAGCAAAAAACAAACAAACTGGTAGTTCAGTCGCATATCTCCACCGGATGAATGGTAACTTCAGTGTAGCAGAATGGCGGTACGCGTAGGGCCGCTGCATGACCAGCAGTAAAGAGAGTATCTTTGTACCTCAGCATCTAAGTGTCTCAGTATCTCATCTCATCCTCGTAGTATCTCAGGATCTCATCTCATCCTCGTAGTATCTCAGCATCTCATCTCAGTCTCGTAGTATCTCAGTATCTCATCTCAGCCTCGTAGTATCTCAGTATCTCATCTCATCCTCGTAGTATGTCAGCATCCTGAACGTAAAGTTTGGATTCCATACCAAGTTCTCAAATCGCCACATTTATGTAGCGATTTGCATCGTGCTTGATAGCAAAGAAACAACTTTAAGGCCTGGAGGAACTGACTCGTCTGCTGTTGGAGAGCTGCAGGTTGGTAGGTGGAGCGGAGATCGGAGTAAGAGGTAGGGTACGAACTTCCAGCCTTCACCATCATAAGGCTGGTAGAGAAGGGAGGAGCAGGGAGGCGACACACATACGTAGCCGCTGCCGCTGTTGGAGCTGTACTGGCAGTTCAGAACTTCCTATAAGCTTGACGCCGGTGCTGCCATCTGTGGGCGGGTTGGTGGACGGATGATGTGTCGACAAACGGCGCGTAGTCAAACTGTGCCAGACAGGGTAAGCCAGCTGTCGAAAAAAGTTTTGGCATTCGGGTGTTGTCTTCTGTCAGCAGGCCTCGGCAACTTCTTGTCAGCCCGGCCCTGCACCTGCGCAGAATGCTGGTATGCAGACGGTTGATGGGTGATGCGTTACGGTGATTGACGGACGAATCGTCACAAAATGGTGGCCAACGGCCTTTTTTCACAAGATGGTGGTCAACCCATCACGCAGGTGTTCATCGAAACGCACACGCACGCTTCGTTTCGTCCCGTCGGTGTAGATTTGCAGACAAAGCTCCCACAAGACCGGATGCGCGATGTTCTTGGTCGCGTGTCGACCTTTCAGTCCGGCTCCGCCGCCCCATTATTTGGTGAACACTCGTTTCTCAATCAACCAGACGCGCCGCGCAGTCGTCATTGCCACATAAGCATTCTGCGCCAATACAAGCACGGGACTGACAGAAATAAATTTTGAAATCCTCTTAGAAAAAAGCACAGCCGAAAGATTGCTGAAACTCGTTGGGATTTGTGAGAAAGCATAACCCATCGCCGCTGAGGGCAGCATGCCCTGTCTGGTACATTTTCACTTACGCGCCATCCATCAGCAGGTCACCAAACCACCATATCACCGCTAGATAACAGAACCAGCGCCAAACTGGCTGGAATTTTGAAACTTCTGTGCAGCATCGGTGGTGACAGAGCATGGCTGGGTACGTGTGGCGCCTCCTTTCTCCTTCCTTTCTGTTTGACCTCTACCACGAGAAGATGCAAACCCAGGAAATTCGTGTCCGCAACTCTGTTTGTTAATCTTCGTTACCTCAAATAGCATTTTAATCAACAACAGCAAGGGCAACTATTTCACGGGTTAAAGGAAATATTTTATATTTCTGGACATGAGGTTTTGAACTGAAATGGTTATCTTGAAGGCCTTTTGATGCAGTTCACGACCATGCCCTTTTTAAGACCCAAAACTCTCTGTTTTTTTTTTAGTTATACGCCGCAAGAGTGCGTAAAGGTTTATTGGCAGACCACATTAAAGGCACCTTGGCATTGATGTCGTCATAGAAACGTCACACGATTGCCGTTATATTGCAGGCTGTTTTCTGCTTCTCAAAACACTGTGGCCGCTGATACATTCGCAAGAGCGATGATGCATCACGTATGATACAGAGCGCGAAAGGTGATTGGCTGTTAGCAAGATTTTGCTGCTGAATGCGTGTCGCGAACGTAAGCGTGAGCACTTTCGAGCTGTGCGTCGTTCGTCGCCAACGGGGCATTTTTCCTTATTTCTAGACCTTAAGTCAATGTTATAAAAATAGAACGTCGCTTTCTGCAAAAAAGTACAGCATCGAAGAAAGAACGGCACTTTCCCAATACTACACACACAAAAAAAAACAGAACACGCGCAGAACACGCGACAACAAACCTGCCTTTTTCTCCTGCTGGCGCTTTTTCTTCCTCTTCTTCTGATGTGTTTCTTACAGACGGTTCGGTCAGCGTTATGCGCACTGGAGCAATGAACCTTGCGTGGGATTATAGGTTAGCATGGCATTATGAAATTAGGGCAATATTATAGTAATATATTATATATATATATATATACATATATATATATATATATATATATATATATATATATATATATATATATATATCACTATATATGGTTAACACATATTATAGGACAATTTTAAACCTTGAACAAAATAATTGTGTCCTACACTAGAACAATCTCTTAGGTTGTAATACCATGAACCTCCATTGGGGCTTTGTTTTGAAGGAAGTTCATGGTGAAATACGGTATTATAACCGAAAACCTGTGCGGAAATTGCGAGAAACCTGCAATTTGATAGTCTCGCGGGTTGTGCAAGTGTGGGATCGCACTTTTTTGACATCAGAGTGTGAATCAGGCGCTTGAAATGGGTGTGATCACTGGTGGTGCGTGCCAGTGGCTTGTATTGATCTTGATGTGATGGGGAGTGTCCGTGCAAGAATTTACTTATGAGAGAGAACAATGTTTTTGGTATTCTTTAAACCTAATGACTCCCAATGGAATGTCATATTGATACCTGCCTCTATATTTAAGTTTGTGTTTGAACATGGCAAAGTAGCGATGTCGGCAAGCTGAAAGACACACGCACCCATGCTGCAGGGGTGTTCAAAGGCAATTTGCTACCTCATGACCTTGCCAACATTTTGAGCCTATTGAGGTATCACAGCATGTCATTAATCCATTGCATGCCATTATATTAGCAATTAATTTAGCCAGTGGGGGGGGAAGGTCAACATGGCTCATTAATGCGTATGTTTGGTATAAGCTCACATGACACAGGTTTGAAAAAATTATCCTTCCCTAAAATTCTGAGAATACAGTGCTGGTATTATTATGGGCGCGCTTACGCCTGTCTTAAACAATTTTGTATGCAGCCAGCGTTCTGTGTGAGTCATTGTCATAGTCACTGCAACTTGACTGAGATGTTTGGGTGCTGAGAAATGTGGAGAAGTATTGCTGTTGGTTTCTTGGATGGTACTTAATATTTTTAGCACAAGCCTTCTGTTTCACCGTCAGGTTCATTCGCTTCCTTACATTTCGCCCATCAAACCACAACTACACTTGCTTGTAATGTCTTCCAGTCGTCGTGCAAGGTCAGCAGGTTTGCAGTGTTATTTTACTACACCTAATATTTTCTTGTTATACATGTGTTATTATTTAAATGAACAATATTTTTGAGGGACACAGCCTGTGCCTGCAAGTATGTCTCCTGGTTTGTTAAACAGGAGACCTGTTTTTATCTTGTCACCTATGTTTCTTTTTATTCCCAAAACAGGCTGAGCCAAGTGATGTCACTTATTTTGGTCGTGTGCTTTGCTCGAAACGATCTGTATATTGTATCATGTGTTTTTTGGTCAGTCATGTGTCAAATGTGGAGCTAATACAAGAATGCATGCTTGACCCCATCTTTTCATGATGTAATTTATTATGAAAGCAGCATGGACCGCAGTACAAAAAAACATAACATTCTCCATTATGCCATGTCACAGTTCAGCACTGAGGTAGGGCCACCGATGACACTCTTGACCCTGTACCACTACATAAGTTACCACATTGGTTGACTTCTGCATGTCAAGCCCATGAGATAAACAGCTTATAATTTATGAATGACTGGTAACAACTGATTTCACAACGCCAAAGGGCTATCACCGGTGAGAATGCTGTTGCACCGCAATGGTTACATCATGGTTAACTAGAAACTGCACAAATAATCCTAAGCAAGAAAAAGCATTCTTGGTAGCTCAACCTTACCATCTTTACCATGCAAATATCGATGTTTTGGCAATCAATGCATTGCATTGTTACAGATTTATCAACTTTTGCAAGCAACTGCATTTCTAGGCACAAATAATACGGAAAGTAACTACTGTGCGCATCATATGAGATCAATGCAAGGACCACAGCACTGCAAGCAAGGACAAGTCGACAATGCAGTATTGACATCCTCAACAGTCCTTAGCAGGTTTCGGTAAGGATTCATGACGCTATATGACACTCTTCCCAGCACATTGTGCTTGATATTAACAATCTGTCCTGAAAGCTGGCGCGATCGCTACTTGCTGTGTATGTCAAACAAGCCCACCAAAGCTTCTACTACGACTAGTACCAAGATTTTATAAAAAAATCCGGAAGCAAGCAATTTACTAACCCGCCAACCAACACAGCATCCGCGACGAGAATGGCCGGTTTGTAGTCAGCCTTCGTGCGCGTCGATGTATTCTTTAGGTCTGGCTGCCAAATGCTGCCAGGTATTGCTGTCGTCACAAAGCCATTTCATGACGTCATCAAACAATGACGTAATCGGGCGCATTTTTACAAACTTTGAAAGTTTGCTACTTAGGGTCGTTTTTGAACCTTAAAAGCTCAGCAATAGGTACAAGTAAGCTTTTCCCATCATATCCGATGCTTATCGCGATATCTTTAAATGTGGAACATTCCTTTTAACGTCATTGTTTTATTTCATGGTTTTTCCCGTGGTCACGCCGATTTTGTGCTCTGCGCAAAACTGTGCAGCATCTCTGCACTGAGACAAAGGAGATCGGCGAGGACATTCCGACGTTTCGCGGTAAACGCCCTTCCGCACACCGCAGCATCAACGAAGTCAAATCCTCTACTAACGGGGGTTCACTCACTGGTTGCATGGAAAGGAAATGCTCGATCCTCGCTCGAAACTCAGTCCAGTCAGCTTTTCTGAAATTCCAGCGATGTGGTCAAGAACCAATCAAAAACGTCGGCCCGGTACTTGATCCAGATGAGAAAGTTGAGCGCCAGCGTCAGCAAGTAGAGTGAGCATATGGTGATCGTATGGCAGTGTAAGAGCACTTTGACCGGGACGGCTTGAAACTTCGTGTTTAAAATCAGCCTTTGAGCAGACACACCGTGGCGCACGACCAGGAGAACGCCACTGTGGGCAACAGGGTCGGCTGGTAAATCTCGCCGTCGAACAGCATAACCCGAAAGACCAAAAACGCTGTCGTGTGCCAGTTTTGCCTCCTGGAGACCTATCACCGTCGGACACCGCTCGTTAACGCATGCTGGGAGATCCTGGTAGCTTGCTCTTTCGCCTCTCAAGTTCCACTGCAAAGTATTCGTCATGGAGCTAAAAGGTGAGGATGGTCCTTAGCTTCCTCCCACTCCGCGGTAACGACGCCGACAGGAGGGAGAGCATGTGTTTGGGTTGCAAATGTAAAATAGACTTGCTTTAAAAGTGCTCGGGCAGCAGACCCAGACGGTCCAGCTACAGAGTTCAAGAACCCACCGAGGTCCGATCCCACCAACGCCGGCCGGGTTCTGGGCCGAATACGTGGGCTGCCGTCTGTGGACGAGATTGGGCAGGGAGGGCCACGCTTTTCCGGGCGCCCCACTCCAGACGGAAACAGTGCCGGCGAAGCTGTGACCCTAGATGGCGGCGCCGGGAGAGGACCCATTGGTTGCCTTCGAACCCCGGATGATCCACCAGGGGGCCTCCCCGCGTCGTCTGGGCGGTGGACCAGCTTCCCCGCGGGAGCGAGTTCCCGATCTGTCCCCCCCCCCCCCCGACAGCCAGTTAATCGCCTTCGTCCCGTCTTGCTCAACCATACGCGCCCGCTTGGCTCCGCGGGAGCGCCGGTCAGCTCCATGACGATCCATCATTTACTACACATTCACAGGTACTGGCGAGGGGTGTCTGCGATGAGGAGACCGGCGGAGTCTCAAACGAAGGAATGCCCGACGGTGTGCGACGGCTGCAGCCACGCCGAACCGTCGTCCAACGGTCATTCGTTGGCGATCCAACCGGCGGCGAGCAGGCCGGCAGCCACCGACTGCTCGGTTAGTGGGGAGGGAGCTTGCGGTGCTGGCTGCGAGTCCAGCGCGCGTGCGAAGGGTACAACTGATGGACCAAATGACTTCAGAAGTTCCGGAAACTGAACAGCTGTCGTTTGCTCGATCACATTAGTGTGCGGCAACGAAGCTTTCACTTTCGATGCGTGCAATATTTTTGGGTGGGTTTCGTTATAAAGTTCTCGAGCCTCAAGGAAAGATACATTTTTAGGAATTGTCGTTGATATGATTTCCTTTTCCTCGGCGTGGGCTGGACATGCACGGTCATGCGACGCATGCGGAGCCTGGTCCTCGCCGCAGCCTCCCATTGCCAAAATGCTGGTGTCACCGTGCCGTGGACGCTAACAGCCGGTGTATTTCTATTTTTCTCGTAACTCGTGGAAAAAAGCAATAGCACTTTCGCTAGCTCGGCCCCAAAGATAACGATTACGTGAAAAGAGCTGCGAAGGCGAAACTGCCTCCAAGCTTAATGGCCTTAGGTCAGTTTAACTCCCGGTTTGAATGGCTTGATAGTGATTTTTCCGCACTTTCCCGGGCGGCGCATAACAGCCGTTTAGTATAATCGCATGACCCTGTTTGACAGCGCGTGGCTTATACTACCTTCTGAGTTTCTTATCTTCTCATTTGGAAGATTTGTTGTCATTTTGGTGATGTGGCGTATGTTAAAATGTAGAAACTACCCATTTAATATTTCACGTTGGACCAGCGCTACCTGAGGTGAAGTTACCACGAACCATCTTCCGGTTTGTTACAAACCAGCTGCATGTCAGTATAGCTCGGCCGGGATATTTTGACGTGCTATGACCTTAACCTACATAAATGGACCTGACCTTGGTTCGTATTTGACTTTGGAGTCAGGCATCATGCTTTTTTATTTGGCCTGTAACAACGTTCGTTGTCATCCCTCACCACATCGTGGAAACTCCTTTGACTTCGCATGACCGTCGTCGACTAAGACGTGGACCGGTCTATCTTAGGCTAACATCCTCCCAAGAAACATTCAGTAGGAAAAAAACTACGAAGCCTCACTAATGTGCTGTATTCAATCTTGCATGTTGTTGTCTTCCTTGACATTGAGGGTCAAGTGATAAAACTTTTTCCGCCTGCTAGGTCATCGTTATTCAATATTCCCGGTGGTGCCGCCCGTTGTCAGGTAGCAACACAAAGCGCACAGTACTTCCTTGAACCAACATTCCGAATGAAAAACACTGGACGTGATTTACCAAACTTTTTCGTTGTATTTTCGTGGTGGAATGCGATATTGCTGCATCTAAAACATCGCGGCGGTAAAACATCACTTTTTTACACCAATGTAAACAAGTGCTGAACGCTCGATGTAAAGAGCCGAGCGTTGGCTCCCAACGGCGTGGCACACACTACGGGGGGGGGGGGGCTGTCCGGCGTTTGCTCCTAACAGCATTATACACACCATGCAGGGTTGTCCAGTGTATCTCTCCGTGTCACAACTCACCCGGCGCTGGCGGAGTGGCACACGCGCGGCGTTTCTGACGCGACAGCGGCCGCTCTGCAGGCCGTCCCAGGACCCCTGAGGCCTCCGCCGCACCGGCGATCCAAGCGCACAATACACGGGGCGCGGCGCGGGCCGCAAGGATGGCCCCGAGGAGTGAGAAGCAAGGAGGAGGCTTATGCCGCCTGAGGTGCCTTCGACCAAAACTGACCCCTGGCCGGGGGGTCACCGACCAAGGCTGACTCCTCTGGCCGGGGGTGTCATGGACCAAAGCTGACACCTCTGACCGGGGTTGTCGCTGAAAGCTGACACACCCTGGCCTGGGGTGTCACCGACCAAAGCTGACACTCTGGCCGGGGTCGTCGAAAGCTGACACCCTGGCCGGGGTGTCACCGACCAAAGCCGGTCCCCAAGCCCACAACTGCGTCCTCCTCTGGAATCGACCCGGCGCGTGGCGGCTCTCGTCGCCCGGCTGGGCAGTGAGATGTGCGGCCAGACTCGGGGCGCGTGGCGGCTCTCGTCGCCCGGCTGGGCAGTGAGATGTGCGGCCAGACTCGGGATAGGCCATCTGTCTCCTTCTGCTTCAACTGCTCTACGTGCTCCGTGAATGGCAGTACGTCGATCGCTGTGAGCCCCACTCGCT